GCTTTTCCTTTCAGAGTGTTCACAGTTGCATTGAATAGCTTTGTGTCTACTGCCACATTTTCTTTTGTCTTTCTTAGCTCTGCACAATCTGCTCTTACCATGATTTAGGTATTTTCTGACAAAAGAGCTCAGCTTAGGGTGGCAAGCCTCAGAAACTAAGTGAAAGTGAATCTTGAGCAAAGGGTTAAATTGAGTCTCAGCTGTTGTGTGAATTAGAAAGAAAATTTGCCATCCAAACATGCATTAATAGTCATGTCATATATATTCTACTTTATTCGTATTTTGGATGGTTTAAGAGGTACTATGTGAGTTTTTTCCAAAAGTCACCTCAGTGTCTAATTAATATATAAGTCATATTTTAACACCTGCAAAATTTACAAGTATATGCACTGGTAGAAATAATGTCATATGAACTTTCCAGGTCAATGAACTACCAGTACAGATTTGTCCAGTATTTATCATGAACTGAAACATATTTCTGATTAGGCATGGGTGATTTGTTGTAATAGAGTGCAAAATAATAATGATTATATATTTTGCAAGTGCAAGTACTTGTATGTGCAAATCTAGGTTTTTACATGCTCTAATAAGGTGGTTTTCCAATTTCGAGGCACATTTATGGATCTCTGAAAAATTTTGCATTTTCAACATAACTCTATTATTGAGTTATAAAATAATTACTCACTCTTAAATGTTTACATACTTTAAAAATACAGTCACAGAATATCAGATGCGTAAAGCTTGTGAAATTAATGGAGTTATAATAAAAAGCTTGTACATATAAAATTTATAAGTTATAAGCATTTAATTAAAAAGATATAGTAAAATAATTTTGGAACTAGACTATCATTTATTTGTTATGCATCATCATGTTAAAAACTTTCAAAAAGACCACATTGAAGCCAATTTAAAAAACTAAGAAATAGGACAAATGGATGGATCAAATAAGTCTTCTTTTGAAACTTAAAGTTTTCTTAATATTGCTTCAAAAATGCAACCATAAAAGAAATTAAGAAATAATTGCTTTGCCTTTGGAAAAAATCAACCTAATGAAAACATTTCATGTTTGCTCAAAATTGTCTTCGAAAATATTGAATGCAGTTGTGATTCTTTAAGAAAAATACATTGTTTTGTTACTTAAATATAAGAAATCAAAATAACTCCGTAGATTGAAGAAGAAATTTGGTAGGGAATTTTTGTCCTGACATGCTAAGTTTTGTTGCATTTTAATGGCTCTCACCACTTTCTCTGTCCTTGACCAATATACATATCCCTGAAATACGTGTATTGTTCTTTCAGTGCTTGCTAGAAGCATAAAGCCAGACAGGATTACTGATTTCTGAATGTTGGATGATCATAAGGTATTGCAGAGAAGGGAAGTACTTTCTGGACAGCTCTTCATGGAATGAAGATGAGAGATGAAGCTATCCTACACCTTTTGGCCAAGACCCCACAGATTTCATAATTCTACTTTTTTAAGGCCAGGAGTCACATTTCAACACTGCAGAAAAAGTAAGGGTCAGGTCTCTACTGCTTAACAGAAACCCAATATAGACAAAAGATGGTGGGAAAAATATGGTTACTTCCTGGGAGTGAGGGGAAGGGCTGTATTGGAAGAAGTATGCAACACAGTGATCTAAAGTTGAGTTCACGGAGTACAGTATGTTACATCTTATTGAGCATTTGCTCACCTGTGCTACTTCGCAGTGTGAAAGTATAAAAAAAACCTCTGCAGGGCTAAATACAATTATTATTAAGTACTGTTACTGTTTCCAGCAAATAATTTCAGTAAAAAAGACTCAGGCGTTTAGGAGTGCAAGTTTTTCAAACGGTTGTAAAAGTACTACAATAGAACAAACCGTTCGCAGTTTTGATTTTGCTCAAATTAGGCTAATGTTTGTGATATGGTAGAAATGTGGATAAGCAACAAAAAAACCCCAACAACTTTCAGGATAGGAGCAGGGAGTTTACAACTTCTCCAAATTAAAATATTTTAAATGTCTTTATAAAGAGAAACATAAAGAAAGATATTCATTGACTACAACTGTGCGAAGCTTTTCCTTTGTGCTTCTGTGCTTGATTGCACTTGGAGAGTAACTTGAGAACCAGGCTCTAATGCCAATGGGTTAGTTATACTAAATACACATCCTATTTTGTAAGATAGCTAAGGAAGCAGTGGCAAAAAAAAAAATATAATCTTTTGCATTAATTATATAAATCACTGGTAAGGGACTAAAAATAATTAGTTAGGGGATCATTTAAGTTAGATGTTCTGATAATTTTGCAGCCTGATTTTTCCTAGATGCAGAGCACTCATAAATCAAATTTAGACAAAGAAGTCATTCACTACTGTTACTAACAATACCAAAAGTAACACAACAAGAGGGCACAAACTGAGCTATTATTCCTTTGGTGTTTGATAACAATTTAAATTTAAGAAAACAAATATTGAAATAGCTTAATACTTATGATGAAACATACAGGATACTCATAGAGAACAACGAAATAGTTAAAAAGATGTTGCTCATTGCTGCACACTTATGCTACATTTGATCATGAAGTTGTTAGCTTTTTGGATATTAGGTGCAAAAAAGTGCAAAGAATATTTAGTTAACTGTTACAGTACCACATTACAAAAAGTATTTTCTAGGCCACAAAGGCCACTGTTGATATAATCTATATTAAGATAAATGTATACACAAAATAGTTGTTCAATCTCCACATATATAGATATATATATATCTGTTTCTATATCAACCTTGCAGAATCATGATGAAAATTATCTAGGCCACAGAATCTCAGGATGATAACAACAATGGAAGAGAAAAAAACCCACAGAGGATAGTTTGTTCTCCTATTTAAAAAATTACTCAGCCAGAGCACATGGAGGAATGAAATTCTGCAAGGCTGCTCTGTATTTATGGTGATGAAAATACAATCTTGGACAGGGAGGATCAGTGTTCAGAGTTACCAACCCTCTCTGGGAAAAACTGTTTCTGCCTAGAGACCATGAATAGCAATCTGGAACAGGATTTATTTATTTGTTTGCTTGCTTGCTTGCTTGCTGTGTTTGTAGGCACAGAAAGCAAGGTATAGAACCTGCCTTTTTTTTTTTTTTCTGCCTTAGAAACACGTGCAATTTTAACACCAGCCTTCCCAACTTTCCTGGACCAGTCAAGACACTTCAAGGCATATTTGACTTAGAGATTAGTTAATGGACTGGAGGGACTGGTTCTTCATAAATGTATTATGTGTCAACCAAGCCAAACTAACCAAGCCAAAATGGTTCTTCAGAAGTCTGTCTAAACTGCTTTTTCCCTTCATAACTAGATTAATTCTCGGAAATGCTTCCATTATCATAAACCAATCTTCCATTGGCATTTTTCTCACGTACAACACTTCTGTAAAAACGCTGTTTTGGAAAATACTATCTATCTTCTCAGTTTTCTTTATACTTTACAAAAAAAGCCACCATGTCAACTTTTTTCTAGTTGCAGTTCAGCTCTCAAAATCTGAGTCCCAGTCATGAAGTCTTTGCTATGCTCTTCACACAAAAAACCCCAACCAACCAACCAACCAACCACAACAACAACAACAAACTAACACCCAGAAAAAAAGAAAAGAATGAAAAGAACTATTCAATTAGGGTAAACTTCAGTGTTAAGAAGAGCTACATCCACAAAAGAATACATAGTTCTCTTCTAGTTTTTAAAGCAGCTCACTTCAGATGATACTTTTTTGCATTTGCTGTCACTGTGTATTCTAATAAATGAGTTTACTGGTTTATAAAATTGTTACATTTCAATTACATTGACAGAAAACATATCTCAAATTCATATTTAGTATAGAATACTAGAAGCATCCAGCCAGGGACCAGAAAGTATTGCATGTGAGCTGTGCGCTTAGTCAAACTAACTTCAAAGAAATCTAATACTGTCACATTAAATCCAGAATCAGAAAATGTTATGCAGAATTGCAGTTTTTCATCATTTTTTTAACATTAAATCAATTCCTTTAAAGCATTTTCATATTTACACTTTGACCTGCATAAAGACCAAGTAAAGACTGCGTGATGCTAGCAGTAAATGAGCTGCTTCGAAGGGGTTGGATGCACCTCATCACGAGACACCTATGTCTCTGTGAAGCTGCATCAACTCATTGAAGACACATTAGCTTTCCAGATCAATACCCATACATGAGCCGTTCAGAGAAATATGAGCTAGCTCATCAGCCGGTGGGTAGCTGAAGCAAGATAGCTGCAGAGTAAAGTCAGCTGCCTGGGCTCAAGCCTGGTTGTTCTGGTGAACAGGCTAACGAGCTCCCCTACGGGCAGCCGGCGTCTTGATTGCTGGAAGATTGTAACTGCATAGATCCAGCTGTAAGACCTGTTCCAAAGGCTGAACTAAAACCCAGTGAAGCCAGTAGGGTCCTTCTCTTTGGTTTCAGTGGGCTTTTGATCAGCCCTTCCTCCCTGCCCAAGGGATGAACTGATTTTCCAAACACCCAAAACATGACTACAGTTGTTTTTTTCATGCAACATTCATTTTGAATTGTTATCTTGAGAAGTCACACAGGATTTAGTGCAATTTAAAAGAAATTTACTGCATTAGCTATACACAACTATTTGCTCTCTCTCAAAAGAATTAGGTACTACAAGCTGAAATGAGTGGTTTGAATTGCTTAAGGGATATTTTTTTTTTCTGATTTCTTTGTCTATGCAAAGATACAGGTCAGATCAAAGCACTGCTTGAATATGACACTGGATATATGTCAGCAAGAAAACAGGTGAATGAATTTGTATGAGGAAGGGTTATATTTGGCTCAATTCAACTTCATTCATACGTTAAGAAATTATTATAAACTGTAATAGAATAGGAAACATGTATTTTAATAAAAAAATATGGATACAGTTCATCTGTGGAGGCCAAACCTTCTGTTTACGTAGATGTGAGCTACAAGGGAGCTTTGGACACTGAACATGATGAATCCACTCTTGTTCCCTAGGGCGTAAGTGGTGGTTTTGGTGATGAACAAGATCCCTGGCTATCAAAACTGGTCGCTCGTCCAGGTAACTGCAAAAAAATTGTTAGTTTTACAAATGTCAGCATAACATGATCATTTCAGAGGATGAGAGACTCCCTTGAAGAAGAACCCAAATCACATCTAAACCCCTTCTTGACCAATGTCTCCAGCAGAACTAATAATGGGATGAAAATTCCTAAAGTGAGCCAAAAATGCCTCTAAGTCATTTCAGAGGAGTGGGTTTATTTCACTAATCGGGGGTGGTACCTCTATCTCCAAACATACATAATCCAGACAGAGCTACGAGCCTCTAAAAAGAGGCCTCTCTGCTGCACTGACTCGGTTTAATTGCCGTCATACTTTTCTTTAGGTGTTTTCTGTTGGGCTTTTTCTACCTGGCACTGGACAAACTGTGCAGCCATGTGCTACGCAATCTGGAAAACAAATGGCCCATAATGCCTCAGACAGCAACTCACTTTTCTGCAGAGGTTGCTTTTGGGAAGGGCTAAGCAGTGTGTCGTCTGTGTCCTGAAACACTGTCTGCTGCTTCTTGAGGATTCAAAATGAATCTTTCAGAATCCAAAGCTATAAGCATTTTGCATACAGAAAACCAGTAAGATATGGCCGCAGTAGGCTGAAGAGGGAGCCTACAGATTTGCAGGTATAATCAATCATGTATTTAAATAAGCTTCCAATAAGTGTCTGTTTTAGTAACTCTGGAGGTATCTGCTGGTATGTTTCCTTAATTCAGCCTAATTAGCAGGCCAGTTTCAGATTAATATTTTAGCAACATATCTGTTCATGCTAAAGATTTTTGAAGAGGAAATGATTACTTTTGAAATACTTGCAAATAATCTCTTCTAAGTGGATATAAGCTCTTTATCATAACCTCTGGAAATTTTTAATGTCTTTAATCTTATAATGCCATCAGTGCACCATGGAAACTTTTGGAATAGCACTTTTAAGTAACCAATAAACCCATGCAACTAGATTTAGGTTGTGCTAAGAATCTTAGAGCTTCTCTTTAGATGCTGCCCTGGTTTTCATGATTTTTAGAAGCACGTAAGTGTGAGAGAGACAGAAATATTCAATATACTGAGAAGCAGAAAATTTGGCTACTTCTTACCTCTACTAGTGGATGCCAGTGTGTTATTGGTTTACGTGGGTAAGCCAACATTTCATTCCAATGATCTCTTCCAAGCCCTTCAGCATCAATTCCTGTCCGACATACTCCAATGACCTCATTGTGTCCTACTCTGAGAATTGAAGAAAGGCAGATTTTTTAAAAATAAAACCAGTTTTAGTAACATCTGATGTAATTCTGTGAACTGGTTTAGTGCAGCACAGAATACATGCCCAAAGTTTTCACATTATTTATCACAGATATTAGTTTTAGCAGTAGTATAGTAACATTATGTTCTATAATGGTAGCATCAGAAACCTCCAGCCACTACATGCTTCTAGCAGCTATAAAAATTGCAATGAAGACTTAACCTTTGCCATTAAAAGGTTACAACCCAAAGAACACAAGGAGAGAAGAGGTGCATAATGCACCAAATGATCTAGAAAGAAAGCATGCTGAAATTTTGTCAAAATGAAGGTGAAGGAAAACAGCGGGGAATACATTTCCTGTTTCAAATCCTTCAGACATCATTTCACTCTAATTCCCAGCTCTTATTGTTGTCATCATTGGACCTTCAGTCAGAATTGTGAAAGGCAAGAGGCATTGCCATGATAGGCTATGCCTTAATACTTCATACTCCTGGCAGTGCCACAGACTTGCTGAGAAATTCCAGAAAATAATTTTCTGTACCTTGCCTATATGTACCTTAGAATGATGTTTCCTGACTTTCTCTTAGCAAATGCTTTGAAAGGAGCAGCTGAAGAGACTGAAAGTGTGCAAGTTGCTGTTCATTTCCCTCCCCAACGGCACCACAGTGCCCTTTCACATCTGACTGAGAAAGTCTTCCTGACAGAAGTTGGAGGATGATCAGAAATCTGATGGCAAGGAAAAACAATCTAAAGGTTTGTGTTACTAAATTTGGCTTTCCTTGTTTGTTTGCCCTGCAATCTCAAAAGCTCACTACTATTAGCACTTGAATGAAGCAATCTTGGCTTGGGCTTGATTCTGCCAGTCACTGTCTAATTTATCCTGCAGTCCTTGAACATCTCTAAGCAGGAGTATCTTCCTGAGAGTTCTTGGTAAGGACATAGAAAATTGAGGATCAGATG